TATATCTCTCTGGAAATATTAAAATAATAATAACTAAAACTAAATAAAATAATTATTTAAAAAGGGGGGGAAGGGAGAAATATGTATGCAACGTTTGAAGATTTAGCTACAGAAGTGATTTGAATGGATCCATGGTGGTGGAACATGGGGTTGAAGGAGAGTTTTAAACAGGTGAACGGGTTCAGCAAATTCCTAAACTTTATGGGTCATGGTTGTTACAACAGGTAAATGGGACATGTAAAGACCCAGGCACAGAGCACTGTGGTAACAACCATGACCCATAAAGTTTAGGAATTTGTTGAAGCAGGAGAAAAAGGGGAGAAGTCACCAGATGCCTTGGTTTTACAAAACAGCTTGTTAATGTGAAAATAGTGACTTGTTGGCATCTTTGTTTTCTGTGGGAGGCTGCGTACCAGCAAACATCCCCGGTTTCTCAGAAAGCAAACAATTACACAATGCCAAAGGCCACAATTGGTTCCCTTAAAAAAAACATGACCTTCAAAACCATACTCTGATTGGCCACTAGAATCCCTCAGATTTGCATATCTGGCACCTCATGATGGGTCCAAAAGCAACCAATCATAACCCACCTTTTACAACCAATCATAACCCACCTTTTACAACCAATCACAGCCCACCAGCGTGTATATAACCACGATCCCTGGCCCACAATCTCCAGACGACCAGGAAGACAACACAGATGACCCAGAAGACCCTGAAGAGTTGTAACACTGCGTCATCTCTGGACGACCCTGAAGAGTTGTGACCCCGCGTCGTCTCCATGCTGCTCACAATAGACGACGCAACCCTGAAGAGTTGTAACACTGAGTCGTCTCCATACTGTACCATGCTGCCCACAATAAACGGACGACCCTGAAGACACTGTGTCATCTCCATGTTGTAACACTGCGCCGCTTGTCCCGGCTCTCACTCCTTCCCTCAGGAAACCTGTTCAACTGTCCCCCCAGGTTGGGACAGTTTTCCAAAAGGAGAATTACCTGCAAATTAAAAATCAATATAAAAGGGAACCAGCAGTTAGTGTAATGGCTATGTCACTGGACTCCCACATAGTCGACTGCGGTTCACGTCCCGGACCCGGTGGCTTAAAACTCACGCCGGGCGCATGTGCGTGCATGCCCAAGATCCCGAGAGGAGAATGGAGGAGAAGGGATTGCGGCATGACCATCCCCCCTGGGGGGTGATTTCTCGCTTTCTGTCTCTATGTCTCTCTCTGTCTGTCTGGCGACCGCACGCACCCTATAGTGAAAACCTCTCAAAAAAAAAATCAATATAAAATATCTTGGACCAACAGGTGGCATGGTAGTTAAGGTGTTGGACTCCCACATGGCCAACGGTGGTTTGAGCCTCCCACCTGGCAGCTTGAAAATCACATGGGGCATGTGAGCATGCATGACCAAAATTCTGAGAGGAAAATGGAGGAGAAGGGATTGCGGTGTGGGCGTCCCTCTCTGGGGGATAATTTCTTTTCTTCTCTCTCTCTCTGGGGAGCGTACCCACCTGTGGCAAAACCTAAAATATATACACGGAATATATTAGCATTTTCCTCCTCTCTCTATTTTTTTGCAACCTAAAAGTATTTATTTATTAAAACTACATCAACACTTTAATCATCTATACAAAAAAGATAATGTGACAAACATGTGCATTTATAGAACTGCATATCAGTCAGGCCAGATCCCTGCTGAGGGAATTCCCAGTATGACCTTATTCGTCTGTGAGGACACAGAGCAATCCTTATTTGGACAGGCATACTCATCTAACTCATCTGACATGGTCAGACCTCTCCTTCCTGATGGCTTCCTCCTGCTTAGAAATGTGCATGTCCAGTTGTCTGCTTCTTAGAGCAGATGTTTACTTTCTTTGTCCACCAGCCATTGGAGGGGGACTGGAGCTATGGAGATGATTAATTCAACCCATTCTTCAGGGAGAGTTTCTGGGTGGGAGGGTTTCTAGGTGGCCCTATTCTGTCATCTTATCTGGAATCACAAGAGTTTCCATAGCCTCTTCTTTTTATTTTTATTTTCTGGAGAGGTTTTTGCTATAGGGCCTGTGTGCTTGCCCGAGAGACAGAAAGTGAAAAATCACCCCCTAGGGTGGATGACCATGCCGCAATCCCTTCTCCTCCATTCTCTTCTGGTGATCTTGGACACAACATACACACATGTCCATCACGAGTTTAAACCACTGGGTCCAGGATTTGAACTACAGTTGATTACATGGGAGTCCAATGACATAGCCATTACGCCAACTGCTGGGCCCACCTCTTCTTTTTAACATCTTGTTGAAGCAGAGTTTTGAAAAACAAAACTACAAACTCAGCTACTCTCCAGAAGAAATATGTTATCAAAGACAACCTCCATGGGAACTCACTGTGGCTGTCCAACACTTTTTCATTGGAAATGTAAACCATCACACCTCCAGTTCCTTGCTAAAGAGCTCAGGCCTCCTTGGCTTCCCCCACTTTATATGATAATACAAGAAGAAAGGAGGTTCATCAGGATTAACCAGGAGGGAAAGGGCATGAACTGGTGAGCTCCTTTTATTGAGTAATGTATTGGTTTCTTATTCAAGCAAAAGGATTGAGGACCTTTATCTCATTTAACTTACCAGTGTTGGTGTGTGAGTAACGGGCAGTGGGAGGCAGAGGCCTGAGGACAGTGACTGAGGTCAGTCCTACGCCTACAAAAAGAGGGAAATGATAGTCCGTTGGTGCTTCTTGGGGAGACATCCTCGCCTGAGAATGGACTCCTGCTTCTCAGATAAATACAGGAAAGTGTTTGACAGTGGGGAGCTGAGAGCACTGGAAAGCAGAAAGACCACATGCAGACACCCTTGGGGGTTTATGTGCTTTCTGAGGTTTTAATTCTGGTTGCCTTGGGGCTATTTAACTGTATTTTGGTATTGGTATGTATAGAGTCCCTGGAGCCAGACTAATTTCCATATGTGACTAAAATCTGTGAAGTGCAGATTTGGACATTGACTGGGTTTTCTCTTAGAGAATCAGTTTCTGTTTATGTTGTTTTATTTTTTAATTTTTGCCATAGGGAGTGGATACTCTCCAGAGAGACAGACTGAGACAGAGAGAGAGAAAATAAGAAATCACCCCTCAAGGGAGATGGCTAGGGCACAATCCTTTCTCCTTTATTTCCTCTTGGGATTTGGATATGCATTCTCCTCTCAGAGGACTCAGGATTATTGGGCATATACTGTCCTCTCAGGATTTGGGGTATGTACGCACATACACCTGGCATGATTTTCAAGCTGCCAGGTCTGGGACTCAAACTGTAGTTGTGGGAGATCAATGCCTTAACCACCACACCATCTGGTGCACCCGGTGTCTGAATATTCCAGGTTATTTAGTCAATCTGAGATTGACTCCATTTGAGAGTTAACTGCGGGTGAAAATGAAGGTCTTGAAAAAAGGAGTGTTTCCATATGAGAGCAGGGGACAGGATTGCATGTTGAGCTCCCTGAGTTAAATCCTTCGGTTTCCCTTCCCCTTACCAGGAACTAATATATTCTGGGCTTTATTTCAGCAGAGACTGGCTCCCAAGCTTGGGAATATGTTTCACCTCCTGAATGTAGGTTTTCATTACAAATAGTATGTAAAGCAGGCTGCTGATTTGAGTTAGTTAAAAAATGATTATTTTATATTCCAGTTGACTTCTTTATAAAATATTGTTGCTACATAAACCTGATTTTCTCATATATTTGTTGACGGAAAATTAACCAACTCTAAAAATTAATAATTAATGTGGTTTCTTTTCAAGCAGAATATGAGTGACCTAGGTCCAGAGAGGAGGCATACATGCCTTTTCTTGGGGTGATCATGTACAAGGGTTCCTTTTATTTGATTTTTTGAGATTGACAGACAAAATTAGTGAAGAGATTTCCATCGGTCTGGCCCAAAAAAGACGAGACATGTGGAAGCTGGGGGAAGGGGTTGGCTTGTAGGTTATAGGTGGGTTCCACAGTTCCTAAATTGGTGATTGGAAGGGAAGATCTATGTTTTGGGAAGAGATTAGTAACAGAAAGCCCTAATCATCTCAAGGAAAAGGGAAGTTGTGTGTCTAGGGAAGAGGTTAGCAAAAGAACACACTGTAATTGATTGAAACTATACATCTCCAAGATACTATGCCAGGGACAGGATGTAGGAAGAATCTTGTCAATGGAATAAAAAAAAAACGGTCTGTTAATGTTTGTGGCCATGACTTCCCCAGTCCCTTTTGAAAGGACTTTAGAAAATAGGAAAAAACAGTCAGACTTTTTGTCCTCATATTTAACATCTGCTTCTCCTGTTGATGTCTTTTATTGTCTTAGCTGGAAATGAGTTAATTAAAAAAATAAGGTTTGGGGACCAGCAGGTGACATGGTGGTTAAGGTACTGAACACTCCTAATGGCCAACCACGGTTCGAGTCCCAGACCTGGTGGCTTGCTTTCTCACTTAGCCTCTCTCTCTCTTTTTGTGTCTCTCTCCGGTCAAATTAGAGAGAGAGAGAGAGAGAGAATAATTAAATAAAATAATTCTGAAAAATAAAAAGACAAAGAAAGTATGAAAAAGCTGTGGCTCTGCCTCCAAGAACTCCATCCCAGATCCCTGAACGCTGGAGGACTTCACACTCTCTAAAGACAGCGGTCTGAATCCCTGTGCACACTTGAGACCTGCGTCTAGGAGGAAGAAACAGGAAAACCCCACTGAGTGCCTCAAGACACTATTGGCAGTTCTGGAAGCCTGAAGCACGTTTTACTTAAATGCAAATATCCCCAGGTCAGGGCTAAATCCGTGGGGGAGGAATCAGGCACGCTAAGGGGTGTGGCCAAGAACCAGTCTTTCCGGCTCAGTCAGCTGGTCCTCTGTCACTCAGAGCCAAAGGGGCGGGGCCATATTGCCGTCCAATCAGAGGTGCTGAGGCGAAGCCTGCAAATTGCCCAATCAGGCGCGTAGCAGGGGGTGACGTCACAGTCTCGCGACGTCTTTTCTTCTGGGTGGTTGCCGTGTTCCTTCGGGTTTTAACTGTGGAGAGAGGTTTTTCGTCTCGTGCAGTGTGGCGCTGTGACCTTTCCTGGCAGAAGGAACGTAGGGAGGACGCGGAGACACCCCGAAGCCGGAAAATGGTGAGTGTGCGGCACTAGGTGTCTCCAGACGGGGGAAGGAGAGCGGTTGGAACCTACTGGTTTCGGCGTGACAGACCCGAGCCTCCCCGGAGTCTATGGCTCCAAGACCGCGGCTGGAGGTCCCTCCCACCCCAGGGTGTAGCCTGGGCCGGCGGCGGGACCCCTAGGCGCCCGGTTTTTTCCTGGTTTGGCGGCTTGGACCTCGGCCGATGCTTTTCTCTGCGCCCGCATTCCCACGTCTTCCCGGATTGTGCAGTGAGAACGGGAGGATCGTCTGGAGAGTCCCGATTTGTGGGGTTCTTGCCGGGAGGGACTGTGCCCCGGCTTTCTCCACAGAGGACCCGTTTTCTCCTGAGTTATCGACTAATAGATGTGGGAAGTAAGATCTCAAATCCACGACCTTGTTCCCCGAGCCTACATCTTCATAAGGCAGGAAGTAAATCCTGAAATTTCCAGTTCCCTTCCCGGATTCTCAAACGTCACTTTCCTCAGTTTACAACTATCAAGTAATTGTCTCCCGTGCTTCACTTTAAACAGACGTTTTAATTTTTTTTTCTCAGTAAACACTAGATCATTTTCTTCAAAAATTGTTAATGTGTTTGAACAGTTCGTGTGAGAAATAAGAGACTAATACTTGAAACTCAGCTGTAAAAATTTCAGTCATTTGTATGTTTGTTTCCTTCCTTCTTTCCTTTCTGTCTGGGCTGTGGAAGGTAAAAAGAGGTCATCAGCAAAACAATGGGAAGATAGATGTTTCTTTGCAGTTTGCCACTTCTCCACAACGCAAAGGATAGTGGGTGAGGGGGGTTCTTTAATCATGCCTATTGATATTTATTGATATTTATAGGGTTTACTTAAAATTTAATATCAACAGTTTAATTTTTCATCCACAGACTTAACTTAGAGTAATTTGTGCAAATTGAGAAAGTCTGTGAGGGTCACACATACAGAAAAATACCTTTGGTTTCCACATGCGGGATAAAGGGTTTATAAATTTGAGTGTTTATTTGGGTCCATGATATAATTAAAAAAAAAAAAATGCTGGGGCCAGCAGCTGGCGTAATGGCTATGTTGCTGGACTCCCATGAAGGCGACTGCGGTTGGAGTCCTGGACCCGGTGGCTTAAACTCACACCAGGCATGTGTGCATGTGTACCAAAGATCCTGAGAGGAGAATGGAGAAGAAGGAATTGCAGCGTGGCCATCCCTCCTGGGGGGGTGTTTTCTCACTTTTTGTCTCTGTCTTTCTCGCTAGCACATGTGCCCTATAGCAGAAACCTCTCCTAAAAAAAAGTGTTGCTCATTGTCCCCAGTTTCTGGCACAGGTTCTGAAACTGTTGGAATTAGAAGTGTCTGCTGCTCATTAGCAAGCCCCATTCAGACCATTTCTGAGTTTAAGCTACTGATTGGGGTTGGGAGGTTCCTATATAGCTTCGGGATGGGGGCAGTTCATCTGAAAGACTAATTGTTTTCTCATGTTTAATTTAGTTGTCTGTTTTATTATTTCCTAACATACTCTGGTAATATTATCACTGGTAGGGATTGCACGTATTTTTTTTTCTGATTGTGGTTTCTCTTTTCACTTTATTCTACATTTTGATGGACTCTTCCTGGTTTTAATGGTGTTGAATTTGCCCATCTCTTTGGGTCTGATTTATTTATTTATTTTCTTATATAAGAAAATTCTTCCTGCTGTGAAATCCTGAAATACTTTTGTGTGTAACTTCTGAATATGTCCTTTGCCTTTCATAGATGTGCTTTCTTTCTTTTGCCCTTAGTTTGGTCTTAGGGTCTCTCTCAGAAAGGTGACTGTAAACTTATTTATTTATATATAGAGGTTTTTGCTATAGGGCGTGTGCGCTCACCAGAAAGAGAGACAGAGAACTAGAAAGTGAGAAATCACCCCCCAGGGGCATGGCCACGCTGCAATCCCTTCTCTTCCATTCTCCTCTCGGGATCTTGGGCACGCATGCACACGTACCCGTCGTGAGTTTAAGCCACCGAGTCTGGGACTCGAACCACAGTCGACTACATGTGAGTTCAACTGCTGGTTCCTGTAAACTCTTAACTTTGCCCTGATGAAGGTTCAAAGGATTTATTTTAAATAGTGATAGTGTACCGTTCATGATATACTTTTTTATACTGGTGCATAGCCTAATGCCATAGAGTCCAACCCATGACTAGGTGCCCTTCTCATGGGAAACTTGTTTATACTGGTAGAAACCCTTGTGGTTATTGTGTGACCAGTGTTCAGCTTAGTCCTACTAAAGTAGCCACTCTATAGAACTGTGACTAGGAAAGAAGTTAAGTTTCGATGTACCAGTCAGGTTAGACACAGAACCAAACATATGAAGTAACAGAGCAGTGTATTACTTAGTTTCCAGAGAAGAAAGGCAGCATAGTAGGGAAATAGGAAGGAGACAGCTGTCCAGGTCACACACATTAAACCAATGAGTGAGGAACATGAGAGAATTAATGAGGAACTGGTGGATCCACACAGGTTCCTATACAGAAATTCTAATTTATAGATTTACACAGGCAGGCCTGTGGTTTATGTAGTTATACTGCCATGGAAGAATGCATATTTGGGTAGTCTATGTTGGGGCGGTGGGGTGAGTGAAGTATTTGTATCTTTGCTATCATAAAAGGAGATGACCACTGGGTATAGTCGTATAAGGCAGATAACTGGATTGAACACATTTAAGACTTGGGAAGAGGTAGTAAACTGAAAACTGTCAAACGTGACTGAGTCCTGCTTCTGGGATGAAAAAGTTAAACTGACATTCACAATTAATGCTGAGGCAACATAAAGTGATAATGCACTATGACAGGCAACTCTACAATTAATTGATTATCATATGTAGAGATGATAGGCAGAAGGATTATCTCTTGTTGATAACCATTTGTCACTGCACTGTGTGTTAAAAGCATTCATCATTTTTTTTATCACTGCCTAACAATTCCTGTTCTGTCATAACTTAAATATTAGATGCCCTCTGCTTGCTTCAGCAGCATGTATACTAAAATTGGGACCATACAGAGAAGATTCGCATGGCCCTTGCACAAGGATAAATCACAAATTCATGAAGTGTTCCATATTTTTAAAGAACAAGTTCTGTCTCCAGTATGAATTCCATTCATTCTTTTTCCTAGTTTTTTATAATGGGAAGTGAAGAAATTAATGAACTCATGAGTATTTATCAACCTTTGAGGATTCCATTGGTGCTGTGGATAAGATGCTGAAGACCATGATGTTTGTTTCTAGAAAGAAGTTGTTGCAGAAGTTGGATCCATATGAACAAGCAAAAGTGGACTTAGTTTCTGCATACACATTAAATTCAATATTTTGGGTTTATTTAGCAACTCAAGGAGTTAATGCTAAGGAACATCCAGTAAAGCAGGAGTTGGAAAGAATCAGAGTATCCATGAACAGAGTCAAAGAGATAACAGCCAAGAAACAGGCTGGCAAACTGGATAGAGGTGCAGCTTCAAGATTTGTGAAAAATGCCCTCTGGGAACCAAAACCTAAAAATGCATCAAAAGTTGGCAATAAAGAAAAAAGTAAAAATTAACGTTTTTGCTTTTGATGTACACTTATTCAAAAAGTACGTCATTTTTATTGTTTTCACAAAATAGGTGATTATGTGGCAATGTAAGGTTTAGATATATTCCATACTGAATTCATATATAAATTTACAGGTTAAATTTGTATTGCTAACTACTGTTTTCCCACAGAAACATTAAGTTACCTTTACTGATATTATTGTAGAACACCAAGAGGTTTTTTGTTTTTTATTTTAAAGAATTATTTTATTTAACTTTATTTATTTTAATTTGACCAGAGAGGGACAGATCAAGGGAAGGAAAGTGAGAAAGCAAGCCGCCAGGTCTGGGACTTGAATTGGGGTTGGCCACATGGGAGTCCAGGGCCCTTAACCACCATGCCACCTTCTAGACCTCACTATGAAGTTTTTAACATTGTGATACATTTTACCATCTCTTTTGATAAGACTCATTTCTTTATATAGATCAGTCTTGCAAGTAGTATTTTTTAATCAGCTGTGAAATGTAAGTTCTTTGTAAACATTTGTACTATTTTATGAATAACCTTATGAAGTATATTATTTGTAGTCTGAAGTTATAAGTACATTTGTTTTTAATATATAATATTAAGAAATAATGAAATTAAATGCCCTTTTTTCTGTGTATTGTTTATCATGTTTTTATGATTTAAAAAATTACTTTTTTGATATTAAAGTGTGAAATTAAAACTTAAAATGAAAACTTAAAGAGAAATTAGATGCCCTGATTTTGGAATTTGTTTTTACTTTGGTCTGTCTATCTCTGCTTTTACTGGTTTCTTTTCTTTTCTTTTTCTTTTTTCTTTTTTTTTTTTTTAAGAATTTTTTAGTCTACCTTTATTTGTTGTCATTATTTTATTTTTTATTTTGAGGTTGACCAGAGAGAGACAGAGAGAAGGAAAGTGAGAAAGCAAGCTGCCAGGCTGCCAGGTTGTGGTCAGCCATGTGGGAGTCCAGCGCCTTAACCACCATGCCACCTGCCAGCCCCTTTACTGTTTTCTTAATTAGTGTAGTTTTCAAGGCCTTGACCTGTATTAGGGAATGTGTCACCCTATCTTCGTTACTTTGGGGCGGATATATCAAAGTACTGTAGACTCAGTGGCTAAACAATAGTCATTTATTTCTCACAGTTCTGGAATCTGAGAGTCAAGTTCAAAGTTCAGAAATGGTATCTATTAAGGCTACAAAAATTATGTCATTCAGGGAACCAGCAGTTAGTGTAATGGCTATGTCGCTGGACTCCCACGTAGTCAACCGCGGTTCACGCCCCGGACCCGGTGGCTTAAAACTCACGCCGGGCACGTGTGCGTGCATGCCCAAGATCCCGAGAGGAGAATGGAGGAGAAGGGAGGGCGGCGGCGGGCCCAGCCCCCTGGGGGGGGGTGATTTTCTCGCTTTCTGTCTCTCTGTCTCTCTCTGTCTGGCAAGCGCATGTGCCCTATAGCGAAAACCTCTCCAAAAATTTTATGTCCTTCAGATATTGTCAATGTTGGTAGTTTTAACAGCAAGAAGATACTGTAGAGACTTTCAGTTGATTTATTTCTAATTTTGCTGTGTAGATAGATAATCTATGATGATACGGTTTTATTGTATTTGGCAATCTGTTTGATCCATTTTTTTTATAACTGGCCAGTAATCCTTTCTTAACTCTTGTTTGCTATGAATTCTTTAATCACAAAATTATTTTACTCATTTTGTTGTCACTTTCTAAATTTTTAAGCATACATGTCTCATTTTATTGCAACTGTGGTTTTAGTGTTTTTTAGTGTTTCACAATGTTTATTTTCTCCATTTTCTTAAAGGCATTTTGTACATTGATTATATTGTTCTCTCCTGTTGTAATTCTTTTCTTTCGTCTGATGATTTTAAAGCTGGAAAGTCATTATCTGTATCCAGATTAGTTGTCATTCACTTGATTTTACTCTTAAGAACTTGTTGTTCCTTAGTCATCCTTTCCAGAAGCTCCATTTGCTGTAGGTCCAACTGTAAACATTGACTATCTCTTGTCAAATTCCTAGCTGTACTTGGTGCTTTCCGCACATTAGTAGTAGATTTAAAAGATTGACTGGCGGCATCTTTAGCTCTTGACTGGTGATAAAGGATCTCTGTTTCATAAGATTTATATTAAGACTACTACAATGACCCCAAAGTGCGCCGTTAGTGTCTGTGTCTTCCTTACAGTTTCTGCTTCCTCTGTGAAAGTTGCAATAAAAGCTGATTGAAAAATTGTCCATATTTTATCCTCTCCCCCCCTTTTTTGTAGCTCCTGGTATTCTTTTTTTTATGTTAGAGAGAGATTTTTCTGTAGGGCTTGTGTGCTCACTGGAGAAATCACCCCCCCCCCCCCAGGGAGGATGAGCATACTGCAGTCCCTTCTCCTCCATTCTCCTCTCTAGATCTTAGGCATTCACACAAACATACCCAGCATGAGTTTTAAGCCACTGGGTCCGGGACTTGAACCATAGTTGACTGTGGGAGTCCAGCAACATAACCATTATGCCATCTGCTGGTCTCCCCAGGTATTTCTGATCTGTTCCATGATTCTGGTGACTTGAAAGTACAAAGTCCTAGGTCTACAGTACAGTCAACAGTTGCACAGAGGAAAGTAGGCACATATAGTGAGCTATTTTTAGATATTTGTCTTCCATTTTTAGAAGTACAGCCTCATCACTTAATGATCTACCTGTTTAATCCCCTTTCTCAGTCTGTACAAGTCTCTGGGATCTCCTTTACTACAGTTGGTTAGTACTCTCTACACGAAGTGTTTGCAGTCATTCGAGACTACATATTTTGTTTATAAAATTGTACTTTATTGTACACTCATAGTATTCAGAAATAAACTTGATTCTGTGTCAGACCTGCCGACAGTGAACAGTTTTTGAGTTGGGGGGTGAGGATTAAAGAAAGACAAGAAGACAGGATAGAAATGGGAGGACTGCCGGTCATACTGGTCAACCCCGAATGTACTTTATTGCTAGTATTTATACACACTCTAGAGACTTTCATGATGTAAGGTTTTAAGTCCTTACTGAATTTATCAGGTTGTTAATAATACTGCTTTGGAATATTTAGTTCAAAACAGTCCCAAGACATTTTGCTCATAATAATCCAGCCACCCAAGGCCATGTTCAGATAAAGACTCTGGCGTTATTCTGGTGGTAATGTCCTGCACATTTCTCACGTCTCCTCTTTGGCTCCCCACAATTCTGCTGGATTTATATTATTGTGTTGTGACATGTCTTGAGGCTTTCTTTCGCTTATCTAATGTGTGCTTTCTGTATGGATAGAATTACATTATTTTAGTGTGGTGTCACATGATAACTATTGAAAAGTATGTACCCTGTGGTGCCATAACACATCATAAGACATCCACCTTGAAGCTCCTCACTTATTAACCAGTTCACTTAACAACTTAGTTGTAGGAATGGAATTTGGTCATTAAATAAGGAGTGCCTGTAGTTTTTCTTTAGTTCAGTGAACAGTTTGTGAGTTTCATGGAACTTAATAAAACACTAGATTTTGTACACATTTTTTTGAAAGGTTTTTTTTTTTTTTTTGCCTTAGGGCATGCGTGCTCCCTGGAGAGAGAGAGACAGAGACAGTGAGAGGAAAATGAGAAATCACTCCCCAAGAGAGGTGGCCACACCTCAATCCCTTCTCCATTCTCCCAGGATCTTTGGCATGCATGCCCACACACATTGCCTGATTTTCAAGCTACCGGGTCTGGGACTTTAACCAAGGTCAGCCACATGGGAGTCCAGTTATGTAACCACTACACCGTCTGCTGGCTCCAACACTAGATTTATTAAGAGTTTACCTCATGGCAATATTGAGTCTCCTTTCCAAGGATATATGTAGTTTTTCTGTATATTCCATTACTTTGATATCATTCAGTATATACTTTTTCATTTTAATACTTTATTCTTTATTTAGACATATTTTAGGACATCAAGAAAGTTAATTTTAGTAAAAGTCAAGTGGAGTGTGTGTGTGTGTTTTATGAGAGAGAGTTATTTTTGACAGTGTCCCCGTGTGTCATGATCCTCCTGCCTCAGCCTCCCAAGTTAGCTGGGATTGCAGTTGCCTACCACCATGCCCAGCCTGTTTCGATCAGTTGTGAACCAAATACAAGCTTCCCATGTGGCCCAGTCTTGCACAGTGGCACCCTCTTGTTTGCACTTTCATGGCCATGCCATAAATTACTGTTTATTTTTTAAAGAGATATTTTTCTTAGGGTCATGTACTCGCCAGAGACAGTAAAAGGGAAAGTGATAATTCACTCCCCCTCCTCCCTGGGAATGGAATGGCCACACCTTAGTCGCTTCTCCATTGTCCCTTTAAGATATGGGGCATGCACACATACACAGCCAGTGTGTTTCAAGCCTCTGGGTCTGAAGCTTTAACTGTGGTCAGCCATGTGGGAGTCCAGAGATGTAACCATTACACCATCTGCTGGTCCCAACCAGAGATTACTTTTAATGTGCTTTAATGTTCTTTAACAATTTTTAGTTGACATAATATT